CTGGTGAAAATTTCATGTCATTAGCACCTCTAGTAATATATTTACTGAGAAAAATGGTGACGTGTTCAATACTTATTTTACCCGCTGTAAATGTTTACCTGCCTGTCATAACATGGCAGTTCTGACTGCAGGCTGTGCTCAGAACACAGGAAAAAGAGTGTCCTGTATGGGACACTATAATTTGGCTGAAAATATGGGACATCCCAGCTAATACATGCCAGTTGGCAACCCTAACAACATACTACAAACCTATACTTGACAGCTTTTTTTTCATTTGTTTTAAGGAACATTACTCAAATTCAGTTGTCATAGTGATGCTTCAGAAGGTGTTTTTGCTCCTTCTACAGAAAGAGTAGTAATTGATAGTCACTTTTTTCCCGTGGCAACAATAACTAAGTCTTAGCATTCTCTCTTTTTTTTCTTATTGCTTTCTTATGTCTTCTATGTAAAGGTGAACGTGGACTTGTCGGCTCTGTTGGACAGCGAAGACAAGAAGTCCAAGAATAAGAGGGGGGTCCTGCCCAAACATGCCACCAACATCATGCGCTCCTGGCTTTTTCAGCATCTCATGGTGAGACTGCGAGGAAAATTTGGAACAATTGCATGATGTATATGAGAGAGTCAGGAGACACTGACAGTGATGTGTAAAAGGCAGAGATGAGGCAGAAAACAGAGGACAGACAAGTAGATTTATGTTTATCCCCTGCATCCAAAGGTAAAGTGGTGAGCAACTATTGACAGATTTTAATAAACTTGTAAAGAATTAATCTCCGACTGACTTTTTCAACTGTTGGCATCAACTCTATTTGCAGAATCTTAGCTCATGAACCACTTGTTGGATAATAATTAAACTTTCCAAAATCAGTGTTCAGATTAAACCCTTCGTGCATGAATTATGACAAACTCAGTCAGGATTTTTTTTACCAAGTGTTTTTATACTTCCTCAGGGTTGTAAAACAAGGTTTGAAAAAAAATTCAATCTTTATTTTTTAAAGAAATAATTATCTGTACACCCAAGTGTACTTCATGTGTTTTGTACTGTAAAAAACATAAATGTAATAACATGGTAATTATATAGGTATAGTTGTAATTTAGTTATACAGTTGTAATATGGTATTCTGTTGGAATGGTGGTTCCTCCACTCCTCTGTAGTCCTCTCTATTTGAGCTCTATTGATAAATGTAAAAGTTAACATAAACTAGGGCTGTCAAATGATTAATATTTTTAATCTGATTAATCCCAAAGTAGCTATGAATTAATCATGATTAATCTTAAATTTAATATACATTTCTAATGCATATTGATAAAATAAATTACTTGAGTTATTAATTAGTTTTTAATGTTTTTATTTAGAAAACAAAATTGATGCTTCGACATGATTTTTTTTTATAAAACAGGACCTAAAAAAAGCTCCAAACATATTTGAGTCAGTTAAATTTTGTGCAGAATAATGAGGTTAAATCAAGAAATCAAGGATTTTCATTCCAAATGAGAACTACATGAGGAATGAAAGATAGATACTAAGGTCACAGTTGTCAGCAAMACATAAATAAAATAAACCATAAGAAGACAAAAAAGAAAACATGTGTTACACATGGAGTTTTTTTATTTTTATTTATTTAACCTTTATTTATCCAGGTAAACTGTTTAACCACTTCTCATTTACAAACATGACCTGGCATGCACTGAGTGCATTGCAATATACAAACCTACATATTCAGCCAGAGTAAAGTGATTGTCAATTTTAATCGCGATTAAAATTTTTAATCTAGGCCCATGCAGCACTAAAATTAATCAATTAACTCGATTAATTTCACAGCCCTAACATAAACATAAAATTATGTTTTCACTAGGTGTTTTGATTCATCCTTAGGGATGTAAAACAAGGACAAAAAAGAAAGATATATTCTCTCTGAACTGAGGAGGACAGTGTGACACAAGTCACAGTCTCAGAACTAGGGCTGCACAATATATCGAAAATGTATTTTCATCGCAGTAACGGCTTGTGCAATATACATATTGCAACAAATGCATAAACGGTTTGCATTTTTGAGTTTTGTCACTCAGACGAAAGCTTGAAGTATTTCACCRATCAAATGGAGCCCTTCATATATTACTCTTCATATTTTTAAAATTCATACCAGAATGAAAATGATTAGTTTTGTTTCTTTGTTTGTTGTTTTGCTCAGAACCCAGAAAACATCAACACTACATACTTATTGTTCATTTATCGCAAGTCATATTGTTATCACAATATTAAGCACTGTTACCACACATCACAGGTTTTCCTGATATCGTGCAGCCCTACTCTTTTTTTTGTCACTTCAGTAGAAAATGAAATCAAATATTAGTTTATTTAGTTTATTTATTTCTTCATCATCAGTGACTTTTTTAAGTGAAGAGAAATATATATATTAGTTTATTTATTTCTTCATCATCAGTGACTTTTTTAAGTGAAGAGAAAATAGAGACAGAGAGAAAAACAGAGAGAGAAGTAATTAGAAAGATTAAAAGATTGAAATAGCGATTAGAAGTATATTAAATATACACCAACAAAACACAGGAC